ATATAAATATTATTTTATTAAACTAACACGTTTTACATTTTTGTATCAGGCTCAAATTACATTACAAGTGGCTCAGCAGATGGAGTAAGTGGCCCAACTACACACAACCCTCATCAGATGGGTTTTTCCAGAAACCCTAAGTATGTCACAAGCCTTCCCCCGCCGACGACCCTTGTGCCTCATGCCTCCCTCGGTCACCATTTTTGACGCAACAATCCCACCATTCTCGGCCTCCAACCGACGTGCATGTATGGGACACCAACAAATAACAAAGTTAAAATTTTAATAGGACTCAAACACTTAAATCTTAGGCTATAAATATGCTTGTAATCAAACTCATGGTACACATTCGGATATACAAAATAGCAGCAAAATACACAGAAAAAGAAGTGAACCAAATCGTCTTGTACCAACTTCGAAGTTGAATAAAAAAGGTAAAAATACTTTACCTCGTTCGTTACTGTCGATCTCGCATGTGTGTTGTGATTTTTTTCTTTTGCATGTTGTCTCTCTCAGATTTAAAACACTAAAAGCCGATGACCGGAGTGGGGGTGTATGAAAATTTCTTTTTAGATCTACACCCCTACGAGGCGTTTCTTTCTAAACCGAGGTGATTTTTGAAACAAGGGTAAAACGGGCTTTCGAATAATGGAAAAGTTTTGGTTTTTTCCACCGATGATCGGCGGCTGGCGAGGCGGCGCATGGTGGGAGTTCTTCATACCTCAAGAACAGGTGAGAGCATTTTTTTAGAGTGAGGCATTTTTGTGCTTTACGAAGTGATAAATGAAGAACAAATTTTTTTAGCATTTATAGTTGGTCCACGTCCGACCCAACAACCCGCACGCGACCCGTTTTGCACCCTAAGATCCGTACGTTTTCAGAAATTAAAGGGGTAATCCCATTATTGGTCTCTCTTCGCTTCATTCCCTCTATTTTAACCCCAAAATCATTTTTTAAACCCCATTTCCTTTTAATTTTGCCACCTAACTTACTTTTTAATTCAACTTAACCCCTATATTATTATTTTTATTATTTTATATTATTTACTTTATTGTATGTATATATATATATATATATATATATATATATATATATATATATATATATATATATATATATATATATATATATATATATTTATTATATACCTATTATTGATATATATATATACCTAATTATTTTTGTTCGGTTATTTATTTATTTAATTATTATATCTTATAATTTTATGTATATATATGTATATATATTTCTATTTATTTTTTATCATTATTATATCATATTATTTTTATTTTCTAGTTTTTACCTTTATATATATACATTGTTTTTTTATATCTATACTATTTATTTATTTATTTGTTTTCCTTTGCTTTTATATTTTTTTATTATTAATATTACTCTTATTATATTTGTCTATATTTTACTTATTTCATTTTTTTTCTTTTGTCCCTATTTATTTTTATTTTATTTATTTTGTTTACTTATTTTGTTCTTTTTTCTATTTTATTTATGTTTCTTTACTTTCATTTTGCTTAATTTTTCTACTTCTTTATCTTCATTTTTATATTTTTTTAGCTTTACTCATTTATTTTATAGTCTTTGTTTCATTCATTTTTATTTTTCTCGATTTCATTATTTTTTTCATCTAACGTGTTTCTTTTTTTAAGGACGATTTCAAATCAATCAAAGGTAAGTTTTGGATCATTATTTTACCTTTTAATTTTAAATTACAATTTTCTTAATTTAAGACAACTGAAATTGCGTAGTACCGAAAGGACAGTTCAAGAATGCTAACCCTTCCTTGATTGTAACCGACTCCCGAATCCGACACATCATTGGAAAGACGCAGATCAGGTAAGGAATAGGGTATCCAATCAACCCATTTGTTTTAAAATAAATGATCGGTGGGGACTCCAATTCGTTTAATCCTAGTCGAAGCTCAAATTCGGAACCCAACCAAAAGACAATTCCGACACTACTGATCAGGGTGGTGTTCATTTAGTTAAGTGGGATAATGTGTTTAACCCGATCCATGCGGGTGGCCTTGGCTTTTGGGATATCACCACTTTAAACGATGCTTTCCTTATGAAGGTAGCGTTCCATTTTCTTGTTCATAGGGATGCGATTTGGGTTCATTTTATCCGAGCTAAATATAAATATGAAGAAGAGGTATCGTTATCGCTTCGAAGTACCAATTGTTCTCGGTTTTAGAAGGGCTTAAATGTCATTTGGAATAGCGTTCGATCTAATCTGATTTGGACGGTAGGTTCTGAAATGATGATTGGCTTCTTGTGTGATACTTGGGTTAAAGATATTAGACCACTATTGGATTATGTGAAGTACGAGATGGTGGCTAATATTGAATATAATTCTGTCGCTTCCATGGCTAGTCGTACGGGGGAATAACAGTGGCACTGATGTAGAGGGATCCGAGACAGATGATGCTGAACTGTCAGATTACACCTTGATGGCGTTGAGATACCATGAGTTGGCAGATCAGCGCAAAGGCGGGAATTGATTGTGATATGTTCCTCATTGGGACCGTTTTAAGTGTGCTTTAGTCTTTTGGCCATAACTTTGGCTATGGGTGTCAGAATCGCGCATAAGACCCCAATCCGGAAAGCTCTTTTCGACGCGTACGCTGTCCACATGGCCTTTTTTTTTACCTCAAATTCTGCCGTTTTCCCATCCGAATCACTAGATTTATATATTTTTTACTATTTATGGTAATATTTCGATTGTCAATTAGGAAGTCATTTTAAATCCGATTTCGGCCGGATTTTTTGCAGATTGCTTATTTTATTTTGAATTTCAATTTAGAGTAATTTTCGGGATTTTTCTATTTTTGGTAAAATTCATATAACAAGATTTTTGACTATAACAGTCTGGCTTGTGGACTGATTTTGGAGAGTTTTGATTTTATAATATTTTATTAAACTATAGAGACTTTTTTTCTAATTTTTGGACGAATTTTCTCTTGTGAATCATCTGTTGGAACTAGCCTACAGGATAATCGTTATTATGTCTGGCGTCATACACTTATTTAGCCATCTTATTCCATACGATATGCTACTCCAGATTACTACTATAAAGTCCCCGGACTCTCGGATTACAACAGATATGATTAGTTGGACGTGTACTCATGATCGATCCTTTACTGTTAGATCGGCGTATTTGGCTCGTTCTGGGTTTGCTTCGAATGAGTCTAAGCCAATTTGGTTGAAGGTGCACAGGTTTCACAGTCTCCCAGGGTAAAAGCATTTCTATGGCTGTTATGCCATAACAAATTGATGACTAATGTTGAGCGATATAAGTGTCGGTTCACGTCGGATAGAAGCTAGTCGGTTTGCGATGCCATTGTCGAAGACGCATAACACATTTTTAAGCATTGTCCAGTGGTAATGCAAGTTTGGTCGAGCCTGGTTCGTCCTTCACGGTTGAGTCAGTTTCTAAGTATGGATATTCAGGATGGGTTAACCTCAATTTAAATTGTTTCACTATAGGAAAATAGGTTTTTAGCAGCTTTAATTTTTTACATACCGTGGTATTTAAAGGGAAAACGCCACAAAAGTGCAATATAGTGGCATTTACAAGAAAGCGTCGCAATATTCTTGTACCTTTAGTGGGGTTTTATAAATAAACACCACTATAGACTGTTATTGGATGACATTTCTTAAAAAGCACCGCTATATACATATACTTTAGTGGCGTTTGGATCACAAACTCCGCAATTGATAAGTACTTTAGTGGTATTTTTTAAATAAACGGCAGAATTGTTCAATCATTTATCTCATCGCCCATTTCTGAATCCCTAAGTTTCTACCGCGAGGCTCCCAACTTTTTGCTCTGAAAATCTCTCATTTGTCATCGCCCGCAACTTCACTATCCAAAGAAGCGAAATCAATGCCCGACCATGGAAGAACAGTTCTTGCTCGACGATCCAAATCAGTTGCTCGACTCAGATTCTGAGTTCGCTCATCATTTAGGTTTAGTCTTTGTTGTTTTCTCTTCATTTATATCAGTTAAAAATTAGAAGCGTTTAATATGTATAATTGTATATGACTGAGTTCTTTTTATTTATTCTTCCATTCGATATATGGATTTTCTGAATTATTTGTCTTTGATGTGGCGTTTTACCTTTCCATATTCCGATTGTTTCACTTACAAATTTCAGGATGGTGAAGAAGATAATTTTGCAATTGTGTTCGCGGCTATATGGGTAAACATGGAGACTGCACAGTTCTTCAAACGCGACTTTGAGGAAAATGGCTCAATGGAGAGAGTGACTCTTTTCCTAAACCTGGTATAATTCAATTTGATATACAAAGGCTACATTCTACGAGTTTTTTGATCTACAAGTTTGATTTACGAGTTTTTTGGATCTACAGTTCTTCAAACCTGGTATATTATTCTTATGATATGACATTTTGATCTGGGTTTTTTTTTTGTTTTTTTTATGTTATAGTTGTAATTGAGCAGAAATTCCTAGTTTTTCTTCAAATATTAACGAACATCAACTTATGATTGTAAATTAAAACAATTAGGTACCATGTTTGCAACTAAAGTTGTTTGAAGATAGCTTGGGAGAAACTTCTTTCTTTTCTAAACTTGAAGGATATTTCTTTTTTTTTGGATAATTGTTTGATTTTATTACCCAAATAGCTAGCAGTGAGCTGCTACAAAAAACAATCAATGTTTGGATTTACAAAGATCATCATAAAAGGAAAAAGCAAATGAAGATACAATTAAATAATACCCCATTGGTTACAAAGGGAAACATTAGTAGTGTGTAAGTGATTAATATGCCTTCCCCTTAGTTTGAATCCAACAATTTCCTTGATCGAACTGAACATAGGTTCGACAGTTGATGCTTGAGATTGAAAAATCCTCTTGTTTCTTTCTTTCCAGATTATGTAGATCAAGGCATTCGAGGAGAGTTTCATGATTGAAGTGAGGAAGGAAGAACCCTTCCAATTAGCAATAGCCCAAGTGTAGAGTGCATCCTATGAATGATGTCTAAACCGAAGGCCACTACAGGAGAAAATTGCAGACCATAGTGCAGTAGCGACTTGGCACTCGAGGAATAAATGGTTTCTTGTTTCCATTCCAGCACCACAGAAAGTGCAGTGGTAGTCAATGTCGATCCCCATTCGGTGGAGCCTCTCTTTTATGAGAAGACGGTCAAGGAAAGCCATCCAAGATATAAGGCTATGTTTAGGAATTAGGAGAGGAAACCAAAGAATAGATTGCCAGTGAACTTTCGGGTTCTTCACCCTAATTTCATTCCAAATATCACCAATTTTCTTGGAGACAGAAGGCAGAATATAGGATGCTTCAGTCCTTAGCTTCAAAATATGTTTTAAGCTCCAGCTCATGTTTGACTTGACTGCAATAGACCAAAAATTGTTAGTTTTGAAAATATAGCTCTTAAGCCATGCAACCCATAATGATCCTTCACCAGCAAGAATGTTCTTAATATGGCTCATCATGCAAGCTTTGTTCCAGGTTTTTAAATCCTTAAGACCAAGGCCTCCCTCAGATTTGGGATAGCAGATTTTCCGCCAACTTACTCTGACTCCAGCAGCAGGTTTATCAGCCCCTTTCCAAAAGAATCTAGAACACAATTGTTCGATCTTTTTTATGACAGAAAAAGGTAAGGAGATTTGCCTGCACCAATAGTTAGTAATGATATATAAAATAGCTCTAATGAGCTCTAATCTGCCAGCATAACTTATAGTCTTACCAGACCATTGATGTAGTCGATCTTTAATGATGTCAATGAGGGCAGAACAATCTTTATCTGTAATTTTCCTGGTAATCAGAGGAATGCCCAGATATCTTATAGGTAAGCTACCAAGTTTGAACCCAGTAATCATTTTCAAATCATTAAGAGTGGAATTAGAAACACCAGCACTAAAGAGTTCACATTTAGGAGCATTTAATTTAAGGCCAGAAATTTCATAAAAAGTATCAGAACAGAAGTGACTCCGATGATAGAGTCTACTGTTCCTTTGCAGAAAATAAGGAGATCATCAACAAATGAGAGGTGAGTAAGACCTATGCGCTTGCATTTGGGGTGATAACTAAAAATACCTTTAGACGCAGCCAAGTTCAAGAGCTTGGAAAGAACATTCATGTAAATGACAAAAAGAAAAGGGGATAAAGGATCCCCTTGCCTGACACCTCTTGCTCCTCTAAAATAACCAATCAAACTCCCATTTAAAGAAACAAAAAAGCTTACAGTCGAGTAGCAAGATTCAATCCAAGAAATAAAAATGGGAGGGAGGTCCAAAGCCTTTAAAACAGCAGATAAAAAATCCCAGTTAAGAGAATCAAAGGCTTTATGGAGATCAATTTTCATTGAACAACGAGGAGATATATTTTTCCTATTGTAACCTCTCACTATTTCCTGGGAAAGAAGGGTGTTATCAACAATGGATATGCCCTTCACGAAGGCAATCTGGTTAAGGGTGATAAGGTGAGGGATTAAATTGGAAAGTCTGTTAGCAAAGATTTTGGTAATTGCTTTGTAAACCACTGAGCATCATGAAATTGGTCTAAAGTCTTTGACCTTACTAGGATTAGGGATCTTAGGAATCAAAGAAATAGTTGTGGCATTGAAAGCAGGAAGAATGTAGGATTCCTGAAAAAATTGTAAAACTGCAGCAGTGGTATCATTCACCAATAATAGCCCAAGACTTTTTAAAGAAAAGAGGAGAGTAAACATCTGGGTCGGGGGCTTTGTCATTTCCTTGACTAAAGAAACCATCTTTAATTTCTTTCTTAGTAATGTCTTTGCTAAGATTTGCAACCAGATCAGCAGGCAGAGAAGAATGAAGGAGATCTCTTAGCAAATTATGATCAATATGCTTGATATTTGGATCAGTAGAGCCAAGGAGATTAGAGAAAAAGTTGATCATCTCAAAGGACATAGCATCAAAAGATTCTAATATATTGCCATGATCATCAATCAACAGTCTAATAGTGTCTCTTTTATTTTTAAGGGCAATAGCGGAATGGAAGAATTTAGAACATTTGTCCCCTTCTTTGAGCCACTGAACCTTGGATTTTTGCTTTAGGAACATAGTTTTAGCATCCTCAAGAAGCTTAAGATCTTTATGTAATGGAATTTCCAAATCATAACAGGCTTCACCCTTGAGGGTTTTAAGCTGCTGCTGTTCTAATTCAGCTTTTTTAAGATTAACCCAAGAAGAGAGATCGCTGAAGAAGGAATTATTAACGGCTCTAAGGTGGGGTTTAAGGCGCTTAAGCTTGGAAAAAAGAATCTACATAGGGTTGCCCTTAACAGGGATAAGCCAAGATTGTTCGACCAGAGTCAGAAAATTAGGGTGAAGAGTCCAGCAATTGAAAAACTTAAAAGGTTTAGGGCGATTGGCTTGTACCTCTTTGTGAGTCCATAGAAGAGCAAGACAGTGGTCAAAAATTCCAGGAGCAATGAGCTCAACATGGGAAGAGTGAAAAGAACTGATCCAATTATGATTGGTAAGAACCCTATCAAGTTTTCTAGCTAGAAAAGAAATTTGTTGTTTATTGCTCCAAGTATAAGTTGGACCAAAATAGGGGTGATCAAAAAGATCAAGATCCGAGAGAATATCCTGAAAATATCTTATATCAGAGAGAGATGAAGGACCTAAAAGATCAAAGTCAGAAGATTCATTAGAGTTCAGGATGATGTTGAAATCACCACCAATGATCCAAGGGAAGTGGCCTAAATTTCTATCTAAGTCCCTTTGGTGTTGCCAAGGGAGTCTTCTTTCCCTACCGTCATTGCTACCATACACTGCTGTAAGGATAAAAGGGAAACCAGAATGCAAACCTTTAATGGTAATACTTTGCTTGGAAGCATGATAGAGAGTGAAATCTATACCCTTTCTCCATAAAATCCATATTCGACCATTATGAGAAAAGTCATAATTGGTAAAGGCATTCCAATTTGCAAAATTGTTTTGAAGAATAGATAAGGATTTAACAACTTTAACTCTGGTTTCGAGCAGACAAAGAACATCGACTTTATTAGAATTAGCTCTTCTTTGCTGAAGAAGAAGAATTAAGGGTAGCTCCACTACCTTCTATCTCAACTTTTTTAGCTTTGATTAACTTGTCTTTCTTTTTCAGCTTTAATTCATTAACTAGGTTTGCAACGCCTAAAGAAACAGTCCTAATATTTTTAAGGGTAGCTCCACTACCTTCTATCTCAACTTTTTTAGCTTTGATTAACTTGTCTTTCTTTTTCAGCTTTAATTCATTAACTAGGTTTGCAACGCCTAAGGAAGCAGTCCTAATTTTTCTTTGCTGACTTTCAGGAATTTTTGCAGGGTCTTCCTCAACACTAAGAATGTCAAATTTGTTTTTTGATTCTGGTAGTGTTAATTTAGATTTATTTTTTACAGGTCTGCCCCTACCACGAATTGGATTAGAAAGCTGAGGACTTAAATTCTCAGAAGAATCATCAGTAGATTTATTGGGGTCCATTTCTTTTCCTACGTTATGGTCACTGATAGCAACTTCATAATTTTTAGGAAGGTCAACTGAACCTTCAGCTAAAATAACAGTTGGCTCGGACATAGAGTCAACTGGAGCATTTTCAACTGGGATAGGAATAGATTGTTCAGTTTCTTGCAAGAGTTCTATGCCTCCCACGACTGGTTCATGCTGAAGAGAAGGATTTATGACTTCTTTCTTTTTCCAAATTTGATGTTTAACAGGAGATTTTTTTGAGAAGTACAGTTCTTATCACTGTGACCAAAGACACAACATTTTTTACAGCTAATAGGGAGCCAAGGGACATCGACCACTACTGAGATGGATTTACCATCCTTGAGAACCACATTAACAGATTTGGGGATAGCATCGTTAACCCCAATCCCAATACAAACTTTAGCGTATTCTAAGTGTGATTTAGTAGCAGTGACAGAGTCCATGGAGAGGGGGGAGCCTAAGGAACTAGCTATGTAGCTCAAACCGGTTCTAGAGAAAAGTTCAAGGGGAACATTGAAAAGGTTAACCCAGACTGGAATGCGAGATAAATCGAAATGTAATCTATTCCAGTTGGGTTCCCATTTTCTTAAAATCAGGGGCTTATTGAGGATATGCCAGGGACCCGATTCAAGAACCCAATCCCTAATTGCTTCAGAATCAAAGGAAAAAACGTAATGGTTATTACCTGCGAAACTTACCTGAGCCTTACTGCCCCCGAGAGCCCTCTTCCAGAGATTGTTGACGATACGTTGCATAGATGCAAGATTTGGGGCAGCACCGAGACATTGGCCAACAATTGAGAGCTTCCATTCATCGATTCCAGCATCTAGGACCTCAGGAGGAGGGTGAACGGAGATCATACCTTCGCTAACCCTAGGCGGATGGTATTCCAAATTAAGACCCTCCGAGCAGCCAAAAAGCTTTCTCCAATCCATTGGAGGTCACTGAAGGGAGGAGTCGTCCTTTAGAACGGTCCGGGAGGAACGGAAAATAAGTTGCACCGAGAGAGAAGGACTTGAACGCCGGAGACACGATCGAAGATTTCAGGGTTCGTTTGCCTTGCTAACGTGCACCCAGAGGGAAGGATATTTCGGATAGGTCATCAGTTGCTAATATTTCTAAAGCTCTAAAAAATATTCATGTTGAACAAGAAATTTGTTACTTGGCTAGCCTGTTGTGCATATTGTTATCAATGCCTCACATCTATTTTTGTGTTAAATGGTCAATATATCTGGTAGCATTATTTGAAACATGTATATGTTATTATTATAATGCATTCTCTGGTGCTTTGCAACAAAGATAGATTGATCAGCCAACTTCTGTGTTTATTTTTGTTTATATTGGGAGTGGGGTGCCGAGGTGTTTTCATAATGAATCATCTTGGAATGTTAAATTGAGGAAAGAGGATGATTCTTAAAGATTGAGTATGGAATTTCAAAACTACTAGCAAACTGTAATGTTTTTTTTAGATTCTGTTAGTATGCATTTATAATCCCAATAAGTACTGTCTGCTATATGTGTATTTAACTGGATTAATTGACATCCTTGACAGTGGTGGGAGAAAAGTGACTGGAATGGATACAAAGAGCTAGTTACTTTTACTTGCATTTTTATTGCTTTATTCTATGATCTGATTGTGAAAACTAATTTTTTTGGAATGGTTTATTATTGTTAAAATGACTTTAAAATCTTTTGGGCATGGGTTTGGGTTACTTTTAATAGAGGTTATGTTTCATAGGTGTTGAGAAGTCAAGAAGAAACCCTGAAGGAGATTCATGGTAGGAAACTTGGCAATAATTGTTTCATCAAGATGAATGGAGGTCTTTGTTTCCCCGTCATTCACCTGATCTAGGAACTCATATAGTGACAAATAGGATCTTTCCAGTTTACCAGACTTGCAAGTTTTCATTAATGCAACCATTACTACTTGTTTAAACCTGCAGCAATTTACACATATATTGTTGGATAAGAGTTGGATGGATTTATCAAAGGAAGTAATAATTATCCAAAAATATTCTAAAAATACGAAATGGATAAGAGTTGGATAGATTTATAGTCAGGGCCACATTCGAGTCTACTCAGTGCGGCAGACCTCAAGAACTTTGCAGTGGTAGGTTCCTTAAATGCACATGCATCTGTAGCTTCACAATCGGGTACCCTGCCGTTTATGGTAGGAGAATCAGAGCATGATGGCAGGAGCCTGGCCTCAGCAGTGGACTCCTCCCTTTCTCGTAATGACTTTAAGATCAGTGTTTTGAGGAAATTCATTACTTGCACAGCATGAATCAATGCTGTCAAAGGATCAGCCATCTGCAAACCGATAAGAGACTCTGGTTTAGTTATGTTTGGTGGGACAAAAAGAAATCATGACAGACAAGTAGACAAACCTGAGTCATGTTGGGTGCGAAAACCATTGCGATGTTGCATGCATTCATTTTGTTGTGTCGTTCGTGTTGAACATCTGCCATCAAGTTGATAGCCCAGTCAAGCAGAGCAGCTTCTGTTGGAGGAATTAATTTCGTAAGTTCAATGCAGTCTTCTTCGGTGTTGCAGTGCATCACCTGCTCCGGAGTGAGGGAATCAAGAACCCCATTTGGAAGTTCTCTAAGCCATGCCTATACAAACATTTCAAGTTCAAGTAGAGTAATCAATTGAGAAATACTGGCAATGCTCTCATGCACCAGAAACAAGACTAGGTAACATATAGATGTATACCTTTATCAAACCGGCCAAACAATGCACGTCGACTCCGAGTGGTACTACACCTCTGTTTAACTTGTTCCGGACATATGCTTCTTGGCTATTCTCGGCATTAATTCGGAATATACCTTCGGCCTTCAATCAATGGAATCAAGCTCATTCAAAACCTTAAGCAATTAAGACACTATTTAGACATTAACCCAGTATAGACTTGGACTTACCTTAAGGCCTCCTTGGGCATACAAACGCCTCTGCATCATAAAAAGAATCGTCGGCACACTGTTCCCTCTGTCATCATAAGAACACTGCACTGACTTGGCTGAAACTCCAAAAAAACTTGCACTGGACGGTGGAAAAAGGAAAAAAAAAGCACGTCTTGTATGTTTAACATAATGAAAAGAAATATCAAATACAGATACAAAATTACAATTTATGACATAAATTCATGTCATTCAGGCAAACAGAGAAGAGCTGATCTTCAGTACATAGCAAAAGATCAGTTTGATTTTTTATGCGTGTAAAATACTTCTGGTTTGTCCATCCGTTGGAGTATGAAAAGTTAAACAATCAAAAGCCAGAATCCACAGTTGAAGCATCATTTTAATCAAGTTGGCTAACAATGTAGCAAGCAGACTACAAAAAGAAAAATAACCAAATGGTTGAAATCACCATCCTTAAATTTCCATCTTAATCAAAGCCTTTAACTTTTCTGGAAAAGAGTAAAAACTTTTATTGCAAAAACATTAACAACTTCCTTATCCAACATATCAGATGTAGTTGGCGTGCGTCTTTCTTGCATTGTACAGAAACGCACACAAACCATAACAAACAAGATAAGGATACAACTACGTCCAACATAATTTTCACACCTACAAAAACTGTTGAAATTAAAGAAAATTTAATATTTCTTCTGCAAATTAACATCACACGTATTTAAAGCAATATAATTGTATATTTCCCACCAAATTAAACAGGGAAAAAGGTTTTTTTTTCTTCTTAAAAAGATAACATCTAATCAACGAATTAGAATATTCAACTTTGCTTAAAAAAATCTAAAATTTTGCAATGAAGGAATAAAATTTCAGAACCAAACCTAGCACTGGGAACCCTTCTGGGAACATCAGGCTGTAGATCAGTAGGCAAGCCAAGGAAACCGTTAAAGCGGTCGAAAGTGACGTGAGACACGTGTTTGACTTCGGTTGGCAGTCTGATATCCATGGAAGACACGTCACGAGTGTCCACGCTACACGTCACCAGAGACTTCCTTAACAACGCCGCCAAAACATCAAGGAGTTGCTTATTGTCTTTCGACGTCGGATTACTGTTTCGCCCGTCACCGTTCCCGAATGTGGCCGCCGTTGAAATGGGGTCCATATAAAACCCATCTCCTTCCTCTTCTTCTTCTTCAGCATCTTCCATCTCTTTCTCTTCTTCTTATTCTTCATTGGATTCGACAACGTTGTCGGTTTTGTTTTTGTTGAAGAATGGAGTTGAGGAGCACGGTTGAACTTTAACTCTTTGATTCCGACGAGTCCACAAGATTTGGACCGAAACAAACCAGCTACTTTATGTCTCTTTCCCAGATTTTACAAGCACGCACTCACTCTATGTGTTGTTTAATTGAAAGGGGAAAGACATGGGAGAAGAAAGGAACATATAAGAAGAAATGAAAAGGGGGAAGTTAAGGAGGGTATGAAATTGAAGAAGTTGAGAAGACAATGAAAGTTTATTTTAATTGAAACCAGCCATTTTATGTTTCTCTTTCCCAGATTTTACAAGCACGCACTCACTCTTTGTGTTGTTTAATTGTTTTTTTTAATGCTGATATCTAATTTTGTTTGGATCTTTATGTCTCGAACCGATTCGAAGACAGAGAAAGATTATTTTATTGTTTTTTCTTTTCTTTTCTTTTCTTAATTCTTAAAGGGACAGAAATAACAGTGACTTAGAAAATGAGGAAATTGGATGTAAATAAGGATGTTGCGTGGGATGTTTTAGTGATCCATAGTCACATGGACACGTGCCGATTGTCGCTTTATTGTCCCCAATGGTTTGGTGGCTGGTTTCTTCTTTTTAACCTATATTAAATTCAAGCTGTCATTGCAAAAACACGACAATGAAAAGCATCGCCAACACATTACTATAAACCGGAAAGAGGAATAGTCTAGTAATATATGGTCCCATGAATTTCATATGCACCATTTATAATGTACTCGAAATCTTTTCACATGACAATACTTTAATGATTTGGTAATAAAATTCTTATATAATATGACATGAGAGTTTAAGTTCAATTTATAACATCTCTTTCCCTTGCTCATAGAAAAAGAAGAATAAATATATTGGTTGCTTCTAATGTGATATTATAGTAGAATATGATTTTTTTAAGTGTAGATAAAACTCAAGCACATCATATGAACAATAGTACTTGATTTCGAATTTTTTAAAGAGAATAAATTATTTTTTATTAATATAATCATACTTTAGGTTCAATCGATTTTTATTCTTAGATGAGAAAAAAAAAGCAAAACTTAAATTCCCAAACTAGGTTAACGCTTGATTATAGATCTATCAATTTTTCTCAAATATTATTTTGTTTCTACGCACATAAAACTCGTAACAAATCAAATGATATTCCTAAAGTCTATTTAATCCAATGCCTTATTAAATCAAACAATTGGACACTTATATTAGATAGGTAATTATATTAATATGCAACTTCACCAAATTAGAAAATTGTTAACAAATTTACACTTAGGACACCAAATTAGAAAGTTGTGTCGAGGTTATCATTCTTTCGGTTTCTTAAGAGAATTTTATCATTTTATACTTAGAATATTTTAGTCATTTTAGCTTTCAAGGTACTTCCATCATTTCTGGCACATAGGGTTTTCATCCATTTAATCCTCAATTTTAATCATTTAAACTTGTTGGGGGTAATTTCATAATTTTTCTCATGTAAGGGTATTTTGGTAAAGTTATCCCTCTTAAAGACATATTTCGTGCATTTAGGCCCCTTTTTAGGATTATTCCTTCATTATGCATCCATGCCACTTTTTTTAATCAAATTAAGGGTCAAACTATGCTAATTAAGTATTTGGTATCGGTACTCAATCCTTAGGATGTCAACATTTTTTGATAACATTAATATCAAATTGACATACTAGAATCCAATCTATAAATTATATCGATGTTCAAAGTGTACTACCTTAATTCAAAACACCCATGAAAATTT